CAAGCTATTTTTAACTACTGTCAAAACAATACAATGTAACAAAATTGTCCCGGCAAGCGGGATGAAATTTTCTCATATAAACACGAGAGAAATTCATCCCGCTTACCGGGCTGTCTTGCTAAGCGGGCCAGCCCAGCTTCCATATAAACAGGCCCTAAGGCAAATTTTGCTTATTGTACAACCATCCAGTATGAGCATTCCAGTATTTATAATGAAACAATCCATAATTGATATTTGACAAATCAACCATTTGCCTATAACTACATGAATGTGGCAACACTATTATTCTGTTCTTTATAACTTAATTGCTTGGACAAAAATCTACGAAAACAGTAAATTTAGTGCCCCACAATCCCTAGCTACCAGTGGTTCTGCATCATCAGTTCACAATTTTACTTTTAAGTCCACAACAGGTGGGTTTCACTTAAAATTATCCCTTTCAAAAGCATTGTAATACCTTATGAAATACAAAATTTCTATATTAACCCTTTAATTATAAGTGGCAATATATGTGCCCAGATGTACCCTACTTTATATTTTACTCTGCCTAACGCCAGACGATTTTACAATGGTATCATGCAATTAAGCCTGGAACAAATGGTCAGTTCTAAATACCTATCTTGATCACTCAAATATCAATGGCTTGATTAATTGCAACTTATGATATTGCATGATATTTAATTCAGTATAAAAACCTAAAACTTATATGTTAGAGATATTAACTTGGTACGGACTTACCACTATAGTGCAGGTATTTTTTTGGACACCTGAAAACTTTTTTAATGCCATTAATATACTGCACGGATTTGTGTGTTGGCTGGCTGCATCTATTTATTAGTAAATAACATTAAACAATATTGCACGCTGTTTCCAAGCAGCATATCTATTTTGTGTCAAGATTTTGTGTGTTATAAATATTACATGTAAATCGACTATGAAATATTCTAGCAGTATTAAGTATATAAACTATATTTTTATCAACATACCATGCGAGGTGAACAAAATCCGCATTAAAATCACTTCAAATATTATACAACTGAACAAGTCACACGACAAGAGAAACAATATTATTTGCTTGATTGTATTTAAAAATAAATAATCCATATTTTTACGACATTTTAGAGTAATACCAGAATTAGTGCAGAAAATTTCCAATTCGTTATATTATAAATTCGTCCGTTTCTATATATTATTTAATTACTATTTTCCATATTTCACGCTGACAATACGTCAGACTCCGTGTTTTCCATATTTTTTTCTGACGTCAGACTCCGTGTTTTCCATATTTTATGGTGGACTCCGTGTTTTCCATATGACTCCGTGTTTTCCATATTTTTCTCTGACGTCAGACTCCGTGTTTTCCATATGACTCCGTGTTTTCCATATTTTTATGACGTCAGACTCCGGGACTCCGACTCCGGGGCTCCGACTTCGGAACTCCGACTCCGTGTTTTCCATCTAACCGTTTACTTCATAGCTCTACGCCTTGGCCGATGTAGTCCCTACAAGATTCGTCACGTCACCGAGTTTCACAATTCCAGAATACCTCGAATACTTGAAAATTGCGACTATACGATAAAATAAAACAAAGATTGTGAAGGGGATAAAATTTGTAGGCAAGCATTGCTCCCGGCTGAACGGCAACTGTTGGTGTCCGGCGAAACAAGCGAATCCGTATATTCCTATACAGCGTATTAAAACAGGTTACGCGAGGTTTTATACTTGTGTTTATTTATATTGAACTAAGTCAGATCTATATAAGAGCTCGAGCATATTTAAACTAAATTTTAATTATAGCAATAGCCATATTGTTCAAGGCGAGAGAAAGGAAATTTCGTGTGAATCACTACTTGCATGGAGACGCCTAGATGCAGCTTGGATGCAGCTTTGCCTGTAGTTGAAAATCTCCAGAAATAATGGTATATATAATAATGGTAAAACATAGACGGGATCTTCACAGATTTTAGCTGATTCGTGCCAAACTTCGCACTACACATAAATAATATCGATTGAGAAGTCTTTTGGCTATTTATTTGTTTCGAAGACTTGTAGTTTCATTAAAGAATATCTCGCCACTCCTTGACGAGTAGCTGTCAAATACTGCCATTTTTTGTCGTCACGTGACCGGCCCAGACCAGGGCTTCCTCGTGTCTCGCCTCGTCCTCACACTGAAGTCCTGGGAACGAGGTTGATCCACCGTATATGAGCTGTTCTGCAATCTGATTGGTTGAATTACTCGCCGTATATCAGCTCATATACGGCGAGTAGCGAAAAACAAGATGGCGGTCCAAAAACTACATGAGTTTTGCGAAGCAGAAAAAGGAAAATATTCGCTTTGAGAAACATAATAGTACAAGGAAAAACTCTCAAATTTGACAGGTCAGCAAAATACATTTATTACGTAGAAATTAGTTTAAATACAAGTTTTTAAAGAATTAATACCGAAACAACAGCGAAAAAACATGTTCATTGAGAATATAAATTGTTCAGAAAAGTTTGCAATGAACGACAACTGAATTTGCAGTCAACAAGCACTTACTATAGTACCAAACATTTGTATAATATATCTGAGCTTTCCTGTGAGGTTCTAAAACCATTTCTTTCACTTCGTCTTCAAGTTGTAAAACAAAAGTATTTCCAATTTTCAAGCGGTTTTTGGCCGAAAAAATTGTCAACACATTGTAACAGTGAATAATTAATTACTGCTTCAGTTAATGGCTATATTTGGGACCGGTCATAAAGTATCTACAACCCCGGGGTGAAGGGTAGCCTCGGATTTTTTAAAAAAATTTAACAACCCTCACAAACGTAAGGGAAAAATTTCGAGTCCCATTCAAATATTACTAAAATATATCGTACCCCATACACTGTACTAAACAGGGCCGTAACTAGACGCGATAATTGGGGAGGGGGTAAATATTCATATATTCGTGTTCTGCCTGACAGATTTCTTTGGATTATATGAATATTCGCCCCCCCCCCCCCGAATTATCGCGTCTAGTTAATACGGCCCTACATGGTACTATAATTTTAATATGATACTATTAATTAAATATGTATACTATATTATATATGTATACATGGTACTATTAATTAAATATGTATAAAGACAACAGTCAGGTGGCCCATACTTCCTGGCCTAAGCCAGGCAAAAGTGCGTTTACACTACAAAAATCTAGTCCAAAGCTAGGCCTAGGTCAGGCTTAGGCTCGTAGTGTAAACATGGCTATAGCTACTGTACTTACAGTTACAGTACTTGGCAGCATGTTCTTTTACTACATAATATAGATCCATGCATGTCTCACATAAAATTCAAAGCCCTCATGTTGGCGGTGAGTCGTCCACTCCTTGTTCAGAATATTCTGACTGATTCCGTGTTTCCGAACGTAAACTATTTTTTGCTGTTGAAAACTCATTTCCATAAATGCGGAAATTATAAGTATCAAAATTATAAGTATCAAAATTCAAATTTATTTTAAAAATGTAAAGTCTGAACAATTAGAGCCCGCATTTCGTTGTTATACGTGCATACTTCGTGTAGTTGTGTTATAGTGGTTGCCATACTCTGTCTCAAGATCAAGAATCAAGATGGCTTCTGAGAGTGATTTTATATCCTCAGTAAATCAGAGCGAGAAAGATGTAACCTTAATCAATATTTTAGTATTTGCTTGAACAAGGCTATGATGACTTGGACCAAATTACAAACAAAACGTCGAGGAAATCGAACGTTTTTTGAAGGATGTTACCCTTGATAAAATTACAAAGCCAGGCATAATTTTAGCAAAGGACTTGTGGATTCTACCAAACATTGGAAGAGCTGTACATGCAGTTCGTCATATGATTTAATGGCTCCAATTCAATTTAAAGAGTATGCAATTTCACAGCGGACAGTACGTTGGAAAATAACAAAAGATTGTGAGAAGCAAGGAAAAAGGGTAATGAGTATAATATACCCAGATAGCAAGGATGGGAATGCCATAAATGTTGTTCGCTTTAGCAATACTCTGTCTAACGTCAAACCAAGAGACAAGTTCTCAGAAACTAATTGAAAAACTGGAAAGTTAGGCTCTTAAGTATGTGATGGAATTCAGATCAAAGCTCTTTGACTCTGATAGCATTGTGAAACTTTGGAAAGCAAACCAGCTTCAATTTTTTTTGGGGGGAGGGGGTGCTGGGGGCCTTGAGCCCCCACATCAACCAATAATTTCCATTTGTATAAGTAAAAAACATATTGATATATGATACTCTTTATGGTAGATTTTATATATTGTAGAAATGTAAATTTATATTTTACAAAATTTATGAGTGACAGATCTTGAGTACTATATGCATTACTATATTAGTCTTTGTTGAAAATTTCGTACCCCATCAATTGGTTGTCAAAATATTTTGTGCCCCATCAAATGTGTGGGGAACAGTTTCACACCCCATCAGAATACCCTTCGTCCCGGGGTTGTAGATACTTTATGACCGGTCCCTAAGTCAAACTGTCAAACCTTTAACTTGTCCTTGTTTAAATATCCTTCTATATATCGTATAAATTCGCTGGGTCCAAATTTTGTGGTTTTCGAGTCGTTACACAAAGAAAAACACATTAATTCAACACGCAAGAAAGTCCAGATTACGACACAACGAACAATCCATAGGAAACCGGCACAATTCTTTGAAAATTCAACGAAACTGTGTAAAATATAGTTTGATCACTCTGTGAAAAGCCGCCATTGGGGTTCGGAATTGTGCGCGTGCGTACAAGTGTATGGGCTAATAAACGAAAAATGTACCACAAAGCATGGCACGAGTCGGCTATTACGCACATAAATACGAGCTTATTACTATACAATATGATGATGATGATGATTTTTATTGATCCATCTTTAGTTTAAAAATACAATGGATTTACAAATATGTCTATTAAAAGAGAAGAGCATAACTAAGCATGCAGTAAAAAATTTAAAAGTCTAGAAAATTATTTAAAAAGTTAATAAAAACCAAGTTTGGTTTTAGTGCAACCCCTGTCTCATTGCTCGTGGGACAAAAGTATTTCTGTGTCGTTCAGTGCCTGAGAAAGGTGCGTATTTAAATATACCGTCTCTACGCCTAAGATTATAGTTATATTTATTATGTTCCATAGTTCGTTGATAAAAGATATGACTCGGATCACCTAAGATGTTAACGAGTTCCCTTGATGTGGCTTCAATTCTTCTCTCTTCGAGAGTTGGCAGGTAACCATGCGGGAGGCCAATAATTCGTAGACTCCTCCTTTGCACACGTTCCAATTCGTCCTTTAAATATCGTGGCAGACCACCCCACACTGGAGAACAATATTCAAGGATAGGCCTGATTTTAGTTAAATAAGTGGTGAGACCCACTTCGACTGGTAGATTCGCTCTTCTACATTCTCGTAGGCAGTACAGGTTTTTAGCTGCTTTGCGGGTGGTCTCCTCGACATGTTTATTCCATTTCAGGTCCTTTTGAAACCAGGTTCCCAAGAGTTTAAAGTTATCGACTCTTTCTATGATAGCATCTCCTATATGCAGTGGTAGAGGGGGCGGTGCTTCGGTGAAGTTAATCCACATATCTTTTGTCTTTTTGGCATTCAGTTCCATTTTATTTTCCACAGCCCAACTTTGTACTGAGTCCAGAGCGCTTTGCAAATCGCTAGATTCTCCTAATCTTATGGACGTATCCATGGTGCAATCGTCCGCATATTTGATTGTGTTTACACATGCCTGTTCAGAAACATTTTCTTCCATATCGTTAATGAGTATGTTGAATAGGGTCGGCGAGATAGCAGATCCCTGAGGGACGCCGGCTGGGCATGATGCAGTAAAGGATAGTACACCTTGGAGATTTACCTGTTGTGTTCTTCCCTCCAGAAAACTCATTATCCATAACCAGAAACTCCTTGTTACATTCTTATCAGCAAGCTTGTCCAGAAGGATCTTATGGTCGACCAAGTCACAGACCTTCCGGAAATCAACAAATAGGGCGTGGACACCTTGTCTACCGGTTGAGGAGTTGTCCGTTGAGTCGAACCAGTTCTGAGATATGGAGGTAAGGGCAGACACGGTGGAGTGACCGCTCGTAAAGACGTGCTGGTTTGTTTTGATCTTGAAACTGAATTTATTGAGTTGCAGCTGTAGCTTCTCGATAACTTTTGCTAGTTGTGGTAGCACGGAAACTTGGCGGAAGTCATTATCTAGGTCTGTGGGTGGACGGATCTTTGGTATGGGACTAATGATTGCATGCTTGTAGGAGGTGGGTTATTTGCATTGAACTATGCTTGCAACCACAATATCGTGGACCACTGGTGCTAATTCTTCTGCGTACCGTTTAAGACACCATGCAGGGATATTATCCGACCCAGTGGCTTTCCTAGGGTTTAGGTGTTTTAGGACGGTTTTGACTTGGCCAGTGGATGGTAGAGGTGGGTGGCTATCCTTGAGCAAATGCTCTACCGCTTGAAGTCTGGGAAGATCTGGTTGAATTCCTAGCCAAGGCTTAGTAAAACTTCTTTGTAGTCTGTCAGCGATTTCCATTAGGTCAGCGTGGTCAGGCGAGGACAGAGATTGTTGATTTTCGGTTGCTGCCGCTAGCTTGTAAATCGTTTTATACCATTTGGCGGGATTGGATTGATGGTTGCCTTCAGCCTTGGATTTGTAGTACGTAGCTTTAGCGTTGGATATCAGCTTGGTAACTTTTGCATGTAAACGTTTATACTTCGGTGTCTCCCCTTTCGTAAATGCTCTCTGTCTTGCTTTTATCAACGCTTTAATATTGGGGGTCATCCACGGTTTGTCCGTACAGTGTGCGCGAACTGTTCTCACGGGTAAGGCTTCATCAAGCATACAGATAACGATATAGTTAAAGACTGAGACCTTGTCGTCCACATCCCATTCGGAATATACTTTCTCCCAGTCTTCAAGATTCATTTTCAGTCCCAGAACGTTTAAGTTCTCTGGTTTCATTTGTCGATATTTCTTTGAAACTGGGGGCATCTTCTGTTTTGTTTTGGGTGGTAAGATCAAACATTGGTGATCGGAACGTCCGATGGGTAGAATGTGAAGAACTTCGTTATACAAATCCGACATATTGGTAAGTATCTGGTCCAAAATGTTTTTTCCTCTCGTGGGCGACTTGACCTGTTTGCATAGATTGAAACGGCGACACAGAGGGTTCAAGTCTAACTTGTTGAAGTCCCCAGTTACAAATATGCCGGCAGAAGGGCGCTCAGCTAAAGCAATGTCCATCTTTTGAGTTAGGTAGTCCAACATCTCATGTTCATTCTCTTTACTTTGACCTGGAGGGTGGTATACGCCTACTACAATGACGGAACTGTAGGGTCTCGGTGTTCTGGGTGGTTTTAATAATAGCCAGAGTGCTTCTTTTCCTTCCTCTTCTAGTTCAGGAAGGCGTTTAGCAGGTAGGTCAGATTTATCAAGTATTTCCTATGTTAATAATATAATGCGGAATATCAGACGATAACCAGGATTCTGTCACCAAAATTACAGAGGGATTGTTTATAAATCACGGAACCGAGGGAATCGATGGCATTTTGGCTTAATCGTTGCACCCTGAGCCTGCGATGAGCTAACGCAAACTCGATTTTTCGACTACGAAAAAAACAGGAAAACACAGGAAAAAAACAGAAAAAGAGGGATTTAAGACACTTGGCCTACAGGCCAGTGTAATTAGCAATTTCGCGAGGCCTTATAATTTGAATATTTGATGCACTGAGGTTTGATGCCTAGAAATGCCCAGTGCAATTGGGGCAACCTCGTTCCCAGGGCTTCAGTGTGAGGACGAGGCGAGACACGAGGAAGCCCTGGTCCGGGCCGGTCAATTTTGCATTCTGATTGGCTAACACCATATTATCTAAAAATAACTGAACTTGACAGTTGACAATAACAATTCAACATTTGTATTTTTATGATTCTTGTGTGTACGAGTATGAGTTGCAAAATAATCTTTCAAAGTAAGACGTTTTCTTTCAGATCAGTGCGTTTTCCCGACTGCATGATTTACTTTCGCCTTGGCCGGTTACTAAACTGAAAAGCCTTGTCGAAGTGAGCTGTGATGTTTCCTGGCAAAACAAGAAACGTCTACTATTATTTAAGCTGTAGTTTTCCTTGTACAGTATTTATTAGTGCAGATGTCTGATGAAATACTGCGCATATTGCATTGTAGTAATATTTTAATTTACAATATTCTGTACTGACAAATAAAAGCAAGACAAACAATTAAATAAAGTTACTAAATTAATTTAGGTCCTGTTTACTTAATAGCTCCGGTCAGTATAATCTGCAGACTGCGGACTGCAGACTGCAGACCGGACTGGGTACAAAATGCAGACTGGGGGTATAAAATGCAGACTGAGGATAAAATGCAGACTGGGGGTGAATTAGGGATATTTTACAAATTCCCGCCAAGCCATAGTCGAAATGGACGAAGACAGCGATGTAGAGCAGTAGAGGTATTGATATTATATGAATATTTATATTATTCTCATTCAACCGTAAAACTTGATAACTTTAACACATTTCTTTACGTTTAATATTTGAACGTTTGGTTACATTGCATTAGATCGGAACAATGAAATATGGATGTTTTGAGTGTGAAATTGTATTAATGGTATATATCGTGTCGACTGTCAAGCACATGGTTTTGTATTAGCAATTTTTCATATTTTCAAGCGTTTTGCTCCTGTAATTCAAGTTCATATACATATATAGACCAATAGCAAGCTTGCGTTTGCCGAGTTTTGAAACATATATGAGTAGAGTGCTTGGGGATTTCATTGTTCCGATCTAATGCAACGTAACCAAACGTTCAAATATTAAACGCAAAGAAATGTGTTAATAAAGCTATCAAGTTTTACGGTTGAATGAGAATAATACAAATATTCATATAATATCAATACCTCTACATTGCTGTCTTCGTCCATTTTGATGAAAGTGACTAGCTTCAACATTAATATTATCAACAAGAACGATCACGTGATTATGGCTTGGCAGGAATTTGTAAAATATCCCTAATTCACCCCCCAGTCTGCATTTTATCCTCAGTCTGCATTTTATACCCCCAGTCTGCATTTTGTACCCAGTCCGGTCTGCAGTCTGCATGCAGTCCGCAGTCTGCAGATTATACTGACCGTTAATAGCTCTTGACGCCTAGGCCGATGTAGTCTCTACAAGATTCGCACGCCACCCAGTTTTTCAGTTTCAGAATACCCCCGAATACTTGAAAATTGCAACTATACGATAAAAGAAACAAAGATTGTGCAGGGGATAAAATTTGTAAGCAAGCATTCGGCTCCTGAACGGCAAGTGTTGGTGTCCGACGAAACAAGCGAATCCGTATATTCCTGTACAGCGTAAACAGCTTACGCGAGGTTTATATTTGTTTATTTATATTGAACTAAGTCAGATCTATAAGAGCATATTTAAACTATTAATTATAGCAATAGCCGTATTGTTCAAGACGAGAGAAAGGAAATTTCGTGTGAATCACCACTTGCATGGAGACGCCTAGATGCAGCTTGGATGCAGCTTTGCCTGTAGTTGAAAATCTCCAGAAATATCGGTATATCTTAGAAAACATAGACGGGATCTTCATAGATTTTAGCTGATTCGTGCCAAACTTCGCTCTACACATAAATAATATCGATTGAGAAGTCCTTTGGCTATTTATTTGTTTCAAAGACTTGTATATTTCATTAAAGAATATCTCGCCACTCCTTGACGAGCAGCTGTCAAATACTGCCAAATTTTGTCGTCTCGTGTCTCGCCTCGTCCTCACACTGAAGCCCTGGGAACGAGGTTGGGGGGTATATTTTTAAATTTTTAATCTATATAGTTGAACAGGGGTTTCATTTCCCAAAAATATGGGGGGTGCATATTTTATTGATAATGTTTTTAAAAAAAACCACCGCCCC